CCCAAAAACCCTAGACCCTAGACCCTTAACCCCAAACCCTAAACCCAAAACCCTAGACCCTAAGCCCTAAACCCTAAACCCTAGACCTAAACCCGTTCCCCTAAACCCTAACAGTTTTGCTTCTGAGGTGTAGGAGCTCAGAACTTCTTAAACTGGCAGGTGGCTTTAGGGTTCACGTAAACCCTAAACCCTACGCCCTAAAAGCAAATGCAGGGACCATAATAATTAGAATAGGGTTTTGGGGTATGTTATGATATAAAATTATACTAAGGAACCCCCCAAAATCGTACAGGTAGTTATTTCTTAAGGCCCCCAAACTCATTATTAAGGAACCCCCAAAAAACATCGTATAGGGTAGTTATTTAAGGCCCCTAGATTATCAGCTTCGGCCTCTGGGATGCAGGATCGGATCCCTGGGCTCCCGCAGAACTCTTACGGTATTGCGGAACTTGGAGGGTCGGGGGACTTAGCAAGTAGCTATTTTGAAGAGTTTTAAGTATCCTAACCCCAATTCGGATCCGTCTTAAGGGGTACTTATACGTCTACTTATTACCCACTTACTAAGTCCCCCGACCCTCCAAGAAGAGGATTCTGGTCGCACCTTCCCTCGCTGGAGAGGTGCCAGAAACTGCCTTTCGGCTTTGCGAAGCTGTGAGGCCGGGCTTGGGCTTCCAGGGTTGGGAACGGTTTAGGGTTTAGGGTTTAGGGTTTAGGGTTTAGGGTTTAGGGTTTAGGGTTTGGGGTTTGGGTTTAGGGTTAGGGTGTGTAGACAGTGTCCGCGCGGTGGGTGCGCCTTTTACTTTAGGAATAGGGGCGCACCCACTCATCGCGCATGTAGTCCTGCCCCAACCACCCCTACTATTCTCAATTAGGGTTTAGGGTTCACCCCAAACCCCCCTCAAGGGGGGCTTTCCTGCTCTCTTCTTCCCTTCGCGGCTGAACATAAAATGCGCGTTTGACAGCACACCACAGCTACGATGGATTAGTGTCGGGTTGTGGGTCCTCGCGGCCTGTGCCGGCCGCTCGACGAGAAGCAAGGGTTCCCAACAAATTCTTCGCCACTCGCACCCAGTCAGGGTTGCTCGAAGGCAAGGCAAAGATTTTCGGGAATCTGCCGGCCTGGGGCCCCCAACCCCAGGCCACACCAAAACGACGCCAATGGTCGTGGGGGGCCATCTTTAATGCCTAACGGCTGAGAAGTCAATAGCGGGGCAGCGTCACTACAGTCCTCGTATACCGGGAGGCTTTACCCTCCCTCACCGTTCTGTCGGGACGCTCGGTCGGGGGCCTCGGTCGGAGCCTCGAGCGCCCATGCAAATGGTCAGCGGCGCTCTCGGCAGTTTAGGGTTTGGGGTTTAGGGTTTAGGGTTCAGGGGTTTGGGTTTAGGGTTGGGGGTTTAGGGTTTGTGGTTTGGGTTTCGGAGCGTATGGATTCTGTCTTCAGTGCATCTGGCGGTCGGTGCAGAGGCCTACTGCTCAGAGAGCTTAAGGATTAGGGGCTTTGCAGCTTTAGGGTTTAGGGTTTAGGCTTTAGGCTTTAGGCTTCAGGGTTCAGGGTTCCTGTCTGTTGATTGGCTGGTGTTTGAAAACTTATGACTGGGGCAGCTGGACAGGCACACAAACACAAACAAAGAAATGCTACTGGACCATGCAATAAGATAAGCCCTGTATACCACCTTTAAAAGGATCCCAGTTCTAGTTGTCATGGCACAGTTCAGCAGTGAGGGGGCGGGACGATAGATGCTATGCACCGTTGCCACGGCCTGTCGCCTTGACCGTCGACGAGACCCCAAACCAAAAACCCAAAAACCAATTCTACAACCCTAAACATGTAACACAAAAGACAAAAGAATGCACCTTCATAGTGAGAAGCTAGAACAGGGTTTTGCGGTATGCTGTGCTACATTTATACTCAGGAACGCTAAGGGATATATATTATATTGGTACTTACTCAATTTCCTCTGATCGGCCCTCAAATATTCAACAACCTACAAGACGTTGCAAGACCCATCAGCCTCTGGGTCTCGAGGCTTTGGAGGTCCAAACAAAACCCAGGGTTAGGCTTCCGGACGCAAGGTCCTAAACCCTAAACCCAAACCCCTAAACCCTAAACCCTAAACCGTAACCCCTAAACCCTACACCCTAAACCCTCCTCAGGCCTAGTGCCAGGTGTTGTGGCGCGGAACGCCTTTTCTCGAATATCGGGCCTGGCGTGCAAAGCAGCATGGCTGTTCTTGTTGCAACCTTCCATCGCATCGGTACTACTCAGTACTAGCCGTCATGCTTAAGATGTTCTCATTTATCAGCGGCTATCCCCGCATAAGCCTAAGCCCTAAACTCTAGCTTGCTTAGAATTGTCAACATGCAAGATAGGGGCCTAAAAAATGACCAATACTATTCTGGGGTTCCTTATTATAAATATAGTATGATGGGCCCCAAAACACCCTAGTCTAATCTTTAAGGCCCCTATATTGGAGCTGTCAAAATGTAGGGCATTCGAAATCCAGAGCGGTTTCACCAGATGCGAGGGCTGGGCGCGTTAGAACTTCTTTCTGTGAGTCTCCTTTTGGGTTTAGGGATTGCGGTTTAGGGTTTAGGGTTTAGGGCTTAGGGTTTTTAGGGTTGAGTTGTCACATCTTTGGGGGCTTAAAGCCAGCTCCCTAATACCAAAAAATGAAAATCCGCCTGGAAAGGACGTCTGCTCGGCGTTGCGGCTTGGGGTATCTAGGGTTTGGGCGTTGAGGTTCTGCACTTTAGGATTTGAAGTTTTTGGTTCAGTGCATTCGAAATCCGGGGCTTGCACAGGGGCTTCAGTTTCTGAAAGGGTGTACTTAAAGGTTCCTAACTAGCGTTATAGTTAAGGAAACTATAATTATAGTTACTTATAACCCTACTTAAGGTACTTAGAACTGTACTTACTAAGTCCCATGAACCTCCAAGTAAGGTTCCATTGGCTGATTGAAACCCTAAACCCCTAAACCCCTAAACCCTAAACCCCTGAACCCCTAAACCCTATACCCCTGTACCCCTAAACCTCTATACCCCCTAAACCCCTAAACCCTAAACCCTAAACCCTAAACCCTAAACCCCTAAACCCCTAAACCCCTAAACCCCTAAACCCCTAAAGCCCGACGAAGCTTCGGCTCTATGACCCCCAAATCCAGAGCTTCGGAGCCTGACATCGTCCTTGGTTTAGGGTTTAGGGGTTTAGGGTTTAGGGGTTTAGGGGGTTTAGGGGGTTTAGGGGGTTTAGGGGTTTAGGGTTTAGAGTTTAACATGAAGCCACGAAGACGAACAACTGCAAACGTCAGATTCTGACGTCCCTAGACCATCAACCGTGAAGCCGAACAAACGTAATGTAGGGACCTTAATAATTTCAATAGGGTTTTGGGTATATCATACGGTAATTATGATAAGGACAAACCCCCCCAAAAAAAAATCGTATAGGTAATAATTAAGGCCCCTATATTAACCAGGAGGCCAAAAGCCCAAATCTCCAACGCTCGGAGCCCTCAGCATCCCTTGGGCCTCCTCTTCGTACATATCTTTAGGGTTTAGGGTTTAGGGTTTAGGGTTTAGGGTTTAGGGTTTAGGGTTTAGGGTTTAGGGTTGGGCCTCCTCTTCGTACATATCGCCGATGGTGCCCTGGACGTCGTGCATCAAGTCGGCCATGTGACCTCGGAGCAGGGTCAGGGGGATCGAGCATTAAGGGCGTGAGCTTCTGGTCCGGGGCTTTTGGGGGGTTTAGGGCTTTTGGGGGTTTAGGGTTTAGGGTTTAGGGTAAAAACTGTTCTGCAGACACTTCTTGGCAGCCAAGATGTGGGATTTGGCAATTTGAGATTGAGCTCTTGCGGCTTTTGCTGGTTATAAGTGGGGTTATAAGTCCACTAAGTAGGATTATAAGTATAGTTGCCCTACTTATAACCCTACTTATTTCTGCCCATGAACCTCCAAGTACTACTAATTACCAGATGTGTGAGCCTGATGAACACAATCAATGGCCCGAACTCCTGAAGCCAGAATACTCATTGAGCTTGGGGATTGATCTTACCGTTCGGCGTTCTGCCTAAGCTTTCAGGTCCAAATGCGCGTTCCCGTCGAGAACCCTAAACCCCACACCCTGAACCGAAACCCTACCTCACCCCTGAAATCTTGCAGCCACCCAACGGAGCTGGTGGTCCAGATCGTCCACGTTCTCCACATCTTTCTCGACCCTCGCACGGCCGAACGTTCTTTCAGCGGCGAAGTGCAGGGTTTAGGGGAGGCTTTGTAGGCCCAGATGGCGGGAAGATAGAGGGTGGGGCGCGTAGCTGAGAGCCCAGGATCTGGATATTAGGGCTTTAAACCCTAAACCCTAAACTGTGGGGGCTTCAGATCTGGATATTAAACCCTAAACCCTAAACCCCCAAACCCCCAAACCCTAAACCCGCAAACCCTAAACCCTAAACCCTAAACCCCGAAACCTAAACCCTAAACCCTAAACTATTGGGCT